GGGTCGCATGCCAAACTCTGTCAAACGCCTTCGGTATATCTAGAGCAACAGCTCGAGCTTCGCCGTTATCATCAGGAGCTTGGTATAAATATTCAGTTATTCAGTTATGGCCGTAAGAACATCCGTGGTAGACGGGGAAAAGTGGAAACTATATTGCTTGTCATAGAGCAGATTGTGGGAGGTGAGATGCTTAACTACTTTGGCATTGATTAAAGCCTCGATGACTTTGCCGAAGAGTGGTAAGAGACTGATGGGACGGTAGTTAGATAGGTTAGTAGCGGCTCCAGAGTTTTTAAAGACCGGGACGACAGAGGAGGATTTATCAACAGGCTGGATAGCTATAATCAGCCAGGCAATAGTTGTATAGTTTAGAGAGAACTGAAGCCAGCTCAGAGGCACATTTCTTTAAGACTAAGGCTGGTTTCCCGTCACCACAACTTGCTTTGTGAGAGTCTTATTTAGAAATGATGTCTAAAATCTGGCGTTATGCACATCTCAGTATAGCCTCAGTTCTTGGAGGAAAATCAGCTACCTCGGACGAGCCGAGTGTTGGGTATGATGAGAATTTCCGAGCAAAGAATTCCGGCTTATCAGCTGAGGATGTTAGGACTTCGAATTGATTGAATAGAGGAGGGATTGAGGATTTGCTGTAGTTCAGTAATGTTTAGAACTAAAATTGCGAGATGCAATATGCTTTTTTCATTCTATCAGCAAACATTAACTTTGCTTTGTTGCACTCATTACGAGCAGGAACAAGGAGATGTCTGTTGCAATCAGATATTTCGCTCCGATACAGACGGATTCCTATGGGTTATATCGGCAGTGCAAGCAGGGAAAAACGAAGAAGATAAGCGCGATTTAACTCGATATTTTCTTAATGACATGAAAGCCTCGATGCAGACTTTTACCCAGGAGGAAACCTCAGACGCACATTTTTGAGCGGGATTATTAAAAACCACATTCAAAGGGACGTCACGAAGGAAGTCACAGAACGAATTCAAGTCTGTGCGTTGATAACAGAAAGATATTCTGTTAGTAGGAGGTTCATGGCTGGAAGAGGAGTGCAAGACACCACCGCGTGATCAGAGTTGCCAAGAGAACAGAGCTGCGTAGTCAGGGATGGAGGTAAAACAGAATTCGAGAAGGGAAGGGTTACGGTCTGCGTTACTGGGGGAACTCATAGGAAAGTCAACTACTTGCCTTAGTGATTGAAAAGTTAAGAGTTTGGATGCTAGCGAGGTCAGTTACAGAATGTTTAAGCCACGTGTTTTGGCGGGTGTTAAAGTCACCAAACACAAATATGTTTGCAAACGGATTTAGAGAGATGGCTTTGTCTATATTATCAGAAATGCTATCAAGTATACAACAGTATTGAGAGGAGGGGGAACCGTAGAGAAAGAAGTGATAGCTTACTGAATTGAGGAGAGATAGACGGCGACATATATACGAATGGTCTGAAGACACCAAAGAGAGTTCCCTAGCTAGCGGAAGATGATTGCGGACACAAACTCACAGGCGGTGCACGTGGGTTTTAGAATACTTTATAAGGCGAGGAAGGTAGCCAGGAACCGAGAAATTAGAGGAAGAACTAATGTATAGATTTTTTTATGTGTGTGTCTAGAGTTATAGGAATGTTTAATTTCCCAGATACGTTCAGAACATCGTGGACGTGTTCATAGTTAATATTATTGTGTGCTGGCATTTATTTTTTTTATTAATAATGCTTCCATTACTTTTAGCCTTTTTTACATATGTACATAAGGAACATTCGGACAATTTCTACATGATTTATTTCCAGAAAAGAAAAAAGAATATGAGAACACAAAAACATTAAATGAAAAAAAACTTAACCGCAGTACCATATCAGTTGTTTTTAAAGAAACTTACATAGATAGATAGATAGATAGATATAAACACACTGGGTTAAATAAACAGGTAGGTGCTTTATCCCATAAATATAGCACATCTTAAGACTGTATTTCTTCATATATATATATATATATATATATATATATATATATATATATAAATTAATTGATTTAAAATATGGTTATTTTTCGCTACACAGTTCCAACCATGTTTCAAAAATAGAAGCTAAAAACCCTAATTTTATTTTTGCAAATAAATTAAAAGCATTAGTTCTATTTCATCTTCAAGCGAATTTTGGAGTAACTTTTAAAATTTACCGGGTTTTAAATACACAGCTAAAATCACGTTTCCATGGTTACAGAATATTCTACTCAAATTGAACACGGGGTGTCTAGATTTTCCTTATGACAGTATCATTGTATCAGTTATTAGCTACATTTTGGTAAGGGGGTGAGGATGTATTTTACACTGAAACCTGACGTCGGTTGAATGGATGTCATCTGAATTTAAAAAAAAAAAAAAAAAAAAATTGTTAACGGTAAAAATTTTCAACGTCATCTTTTTAAAATTAAAGATTTTTTTTTACAATACTTTTTATTTAACTACGATTTGAAATATTTTCCTTTTTAATTTTTATTTTACTATATTCTTTTTAAGAACAGTTAAATGTATTAGAATCCATTATATTATGTAGGATTATTTTAACATTAAGTTTAAGTATGTATATGAGGTTACATTTTTTTTTTTTTTTTTTTTTTTTTTGTTTATGACTATGAAAGCAGAAATGGTTACTTAATTTCACTGATTCAGTAAACGTTTTTATATATAAACCTATTATTATAATATTTCACATGTAAGTACTGAGGACATGGGTCATTCAAAAGCTTACATGTTATGGTATTTCATATTAATTTTATTTTACTATAGGTGTTATTTTATATCTTACTGTTCTTTCTTTTTTATTTATTACATATATATATATATATATATATATATATATATATATATATATATATATATATATATATATAGTTGGATTGATGTGAGTTTGTGACCCTGTGTTTCACGCTTTTTACGAAATGAGTGTACGGGCGTGTATGTATATTTGTGTAAGTATGACGACAATGCGTACCGACGACAATTTTTCCTCCCACTTCCATTAAAACACTGATATACGCAACCTTATATAAATCCAAAATTTAAAAATTAATCTGTTTGTCTGACGATCTCAAAAGCGTGAAACCCAGGGTCACAAACTCACATCCCTCAAACTAAATATGTTAGCTCTATCTCTGATATCGAGCGCTTTCCAATAAGTACCGCGCATATATAATATATAAATAATATATATAATAAATTGCATATATATATATATACATTTCACACACACACACACACACACACACACATATATATATATATATATTCTCTTTATACGTTAATTTTATTTTTATATTTTTAATTAAACGTTATTTTTTTATATTTTTAATTAAACGTTATTTTTTTATATTTTTAATTAAACGTTAATTATTACATTCCTGTTCTGAATGTTCAAAAAATTTCGTAGAAAATATACGTTCTTCGGTACGAATCGAAACTGTAACCCTTAATAGGGACCTTAATTTGATCTGACGTGCTGTTAACATTCAGCCACAGAGAAGCGTCTGGTTAGCAAAGTCCGAATTACTCTTTATAAATGGGTTACTTACTGAGTGGGATAGACACAGGCAGAACAATAAAAGAACAGGTTTCAAGGATACAGATTTTGACTGGCATTGTATTTAAAATTTTGAAGTTCGTAGTTGACAGGAAAGCGAGAAGCCGGAAAAATAAATGTTCCACAGCCGAGAAGTGCGAGAGAAGAAACTATTAATACAAAAGTTACGGTTCCATTTATAAAATCCAGAAGTGGAATTCTGAGACCTAACTGCCCATCTAGCCACGATTACAAGTACTATAACACATTAGAGTTGTACAGGCATTACATGTAATAGGTACTATTGATACATTGCTAAGCATCAGTTGATATTAACTGAGTTTAACTTAGCACAGGAACACGAGTGTGGAACCCTCAATAACGAACTCAATAGATTAGTGAATGCCTTGCTCAAATATCAAATATCGACTCATCATCAGCATCATCACCATTATCATCAATCCCTTAACTAGGTGTCCGTCGTAGGATCACTGACCACTTCCCTCCACATATTCGGGTGGAAAGTGGCATTCATTCATTCAGGCAAGTAGATCTGGCAGAGACAATCTGTCTCAAAGCACAACCGATGTCGTTCGACTTGAAGGTTCGCTTTGGTCACGTGGCCATTGATTCAATCGGAGAGATTCAATCCGCCATGGTAACTGGTTTCAGTTTAGGAAGCCCTCCACCCAGTGATGCCAACTCATCGGGGAATTGGCTGCGTTCACAGCTACGTATTCCTGTCTACCTCACTGTGCTAGATGATTTTCAAGCCTACAAGAAGGTTGCATTCGCCCTTTGACAAGTCTTTTTTTTTTAACCCTGATGTGTGTAGCCAGCCGTTTCGACAGAAAAACCTGAAGGGGGAACTGGTTTATTCATCGATCACCCTACCATGCGGCAGGTAGTACTGGGTTACATGATACCAGCTTTACCTGTGGTGTAACCTGTTATTATAATATCGATAGTTGGTTCTTGTCTTCCGTCGGTAGACTCAAATCACATCTCTTTTTTCTTTTTTTTACAATATAGGTGTTTTTATCATTTTTTTTTTTTTCAATCATTTTGTCTAAATAATGGTTATTTGTTAAAAACAAAATCACACCTGACTGGAATTCGATCAAAACAATCACAAATCAATAAAGTTTAAGAAATAAAATAAAAAATGGAAGGAAGAAAATAGTGGAAGATAAGCTGTTCTGAGAAATTCAAGTGACGCGGGTGAGAAGTGGTGTCTGAGGAAGTTGGAATCGAAAAAAGAGAGCGGCCAATAGCCGGCAGCAAACATGGCGGGTTAGGACGAAGGTCGGTCAGTCTTCTTTTCATTTTTTTTTTTTTTTTTTTTTTTGCTACATCGGACCAAGGAAGTATCAAGTTACGGATTGACGTCCAGCTGGCACAAGAGTAAATCGCTGTAAGGAAGCCAGTGAAATCAATGGCCTCTTCCTGTGGCTCAGCAGGAGATGATCCACTTAAAAGAAAGTTCGCTGATTCAGGCACTTCGCTTGTTTCTGATTGGTCAGTTGAAGTCATGTGATACACCAGTTACGGCTATAAACCTTTTGCATGCTAACAAAGAAGCGTAAATAGACTACATGTCTTAATTCAACGTCCATCTCTCGCCTCCTGCTTCGTGCAAAACATTTTCTCCTACTCATTGATCTTTTATTTATCCTTCTCCCCCCTCTCTCTCTCTCTCTCTCTCTCTCTCTCTCTCTTTCTCTTTTTATCACATTATCTCCCCTTATCACTTTTCTACCTCGTCTTCTCTCTTTCTGGTACTCTTTTTCTTTACTCTGTCTCGGTTACTCTTCTATATCATTCTGTTTCTCTCATCTCTTTTATTCTTTTTCTTTCTCTCTTTCTTTCTCTTTTTTTCTCCTCCTATCTCTCACTCACTCATCTACTCTCTTTCTTTCTGATTCTCCTATTTCTCTATTTCTATCTTTCTCTTATTCCGCTCTTTATCTTACTTCTATATCTCACTATTACTCTTTCTCTTTCTATTGTATATCGGTCTCCCTTCTCTTATTCTCCTCTTTCTTTATCTCCCCTCCCTTTCTCATTGCTTTTTCCTCCCTTTCGTCTTCATCTCTTACTCTCCTTTTCTTTTATCATTTCTTTATTTTTCTTCTTTTTTTTCTATTTCACTTGTTCCTTAATATTCCATTCCATTTATATTCGTACATTAAAGTATCATGTCGTCTAAAATGGAAAGAAATACACTCGCTATATTGAGCATCTCCCAGGAGGAAAGTTTAATGTTCGCATTCATATTAACCATTTCTCAAATGAAAGCAATACTGGGTTTTTATCTATCTATCTACAGGGTGCGATGGAGAAATTGTCGCCTAAATGCCGTAAATATGAAAATATCACATCTCATTTTAATGGATATATTGACCAAAATTACACAGAAATATCTTGAAATGCGAAAGAGTTAAATTTACTCTATAAAATCGTCATTGGCTTCAATCACGGTCTCCAAACGACTTCGGAATCTCCTGAAACTCTTCTGGACGGTCTCCTTGGTTAGGTTGATAAATGCTACCATAATCATTGTCTTCAGTTCCCCTTTCGTGTTACAAGAAGTTTTTTTGGTCTCTCGCTCAACTGCGCCCCACACATAATAATCAAGGGGGTTGTGGTCTGGGGAGGTAGGTAACCAGATGTAAGGGGTGATGTGGTCGCAGAAATTGTCCGACAGACATGACTGTATTCTCCTGCTTGTACGGCATGGTGCAGAATCCTATTGCCAGACATAGGTTCTTCGAGCAGCCACCATCTTGATCCAGGGCAGCACTACGCCCTCAAGTGTAAATTGTCGCCATTTTATATTTTTAATTTCGCGCATGCCCATTGTTTGTCTTTGATTTTGTCGATTACACAGTATAAGTAGGGCTAGTTTGGCACCGTGTATAACAAAAAGAGCACCATGACACAATTCACTCCGCCAGAAAATTGGAAACGGCATACTGTACTGCTTGTCATTCGGGCCGGAAACTTCAATACGAACATTTCAGAGTTTGTGGTTGTCAATCTGAGGACGATGCAGAGGATATGCAAAGATATGGATGAGTCTAATGGGGATTACAAAGTTACGGCAGCTTGGAAAAACTCACCCTGATCGTTCTGACGGAAAAAGAAATCTTGAATTTGTTGGTGAGGGCCTCAGATTCATCACGGAGACCAATATCAGTTGCCTTGAAGACTTAATGCAGCCCTGGGACAAGAGGGTGGCAACTGGAAGATCCTATGTCTGACATACAGTACTTTGCACCATGCCACACAAGCAGGAGAACACAGTCATGGCTGTCAGACAATTTCTGTGATGACATCACCCCTTACATCTAGCCACCTAACTCCCCAGACTGCAACCCTCTTGATTATTATAGATGGAGATAGTTGAGCTAGAGACCAAAAAAACTTGTATCACCAAAGATGAACTGGATTCTGGGCAGCATTCACCAACTTAAAGAAGGCGACAGTCCTGAAGAGTTGTAGGAGATTCTGAAGCCGTCTGGAGGCCGTGGTTGAAAGCAATGGTGATTTTATTGGATAAATTTACTCTTCAGTATTTTAAGATATTATTGTGCAATTTGAATATATTTGTTAAAATGAAATGTTAGTGTTATTTTCACTTTTGCGTAATTCAGACGACAATTTATCCATATTACTACTATATATATATATATATATATATATATATATATATATATATATATATATATATATATTACGATAAACGTGCAATCAATTTACAAATTCATGAATTATTCACACAAAAAAATGCAAAGGTTAATGATTTAATTGAAATCCATCATCACAAACAATTCAAATAATATACAAAAACCTCTGAATCCGTTATGAATGAAATGATCCTTGTTTATATAAATTTCTGCCGTATTAGTTCTTATTTTTACTACAAGCTTTCGTCTGTTCCTACAGACATCTTCAGGTATAGAATATATATATATATAGAATATTGTTCATGCCACTTTGACAGAAAATATACCAGTAAAAAATTCGTTCATCACCATATATGTATATGAACGCACAACTTTTAAAAATTTAAAATCAAACTCAGCGTTTCTACTGCGCGCTCCAAAAACAATAACTCATTTCCAATAGCATTTTCGGATACAACAATACATATATTTTTGTTGTCCTCTTATTACTAAGAGAAAAAACAAGAACAACATCTATTCTATACCTGAAGATGTCTGTAGGAACAGACGAAAGCTTGTAGTAAAAATAAGAACTAATACGGCAGAAATTTATATAAACAAGGATCATTTCATTCATAACGGATTCGGAGGTTTTTGTATATTATTTGAATTGTTTGCGATGATGGATTTCTCGCCAATTAAATCATTAACCTTTGCATTAGTTTTTGTGTGAATAATTCATGAATATATATATATATATATATATATATCAGTCTGTTTATATCTATCTGTCTATCTATCTGTCTGTTCGTATCAATCTATCCATCTATCTGAATCTCTTCTTTATTTTTCTATCTTCCATGCCAATCTATCTTTTTATGTTCATATCTATCTATCTAACTGGATCTCTTCTTCACCTATCTATCTATCTATCTATCTATCTATCTATCTATCTATCTATCTATCTCAGTCTGTTCATTATATATCTATCAATCGATTAATCAGTCTATCTTTTGTGTACGCTTTTCTTCCTCTAACATTTAATATTTTATAACGAAAGCTGATATGAATAAATTGTTAAGAACCAATTTCTGTTGTAGAAATATCTTGATTTTACATGATTTTTCAAAAAAAAAAATTAAAGTCTTACAGGATTATGTCTTCAGCCATAAAATTCCATAAAAACCAAGAAACCTTCGTTTCTTAGGCTGATTCATAATTGAGTTCGACACATTACAGTCAATTCGCAAAAAAATATCTGTAACAAAGAAAATCCTTCATTCAAACTATATCAGCAAATTCTAGATTAAACAGAACTATATTATTATTATGAAATAATTTGAAAATATGAATCGTATTTTCCAATCAATATGATGCACTTAAAAATAAAAGAAAGTCCCCGAAATACTACACCGCATCTTATACGTTGATATCATAGATTAGCAGCAATGAACTGACGGTTAACGCAATGCATTGAATATTTGATGAAACCGAGTAATTTTTTTTTCTTTCTTTCTCAGCAAATGTTCCCTAAAAAACAAATAGGCTACTAAATAAAGTTGATATTTCCGAGAATTCGACAATTCACATAAAATTTCAATTTCTGGGAATAGGAGTAAAAAAATGAATGAGAATGAATCTTCGAGACATAATAATACAATAAGACGAATACTTAGTAGTTAAATAGACTGACGGACAATACAATTATTCGACTCTGAATATATGTTTTAACTTAAACGCACAAGAAATATTAAACGTGACATTTAACGTACGAGCAATATGATTGAATTATAGTGTAAGCAATGACATATGCAGATCAATACAGGTACAGTTTCCAAAATATGGCTTGTATCAACAGTAATCAGATTCCAACCATACGAGATAACAGAATCCACATCAATTGAGGACTTTCAAAAGCGGCAACTACTAAAATGGATAGCACATGTAACTAGAAGAGAAAATAATGACATTATCAAGATGTTGACAATTCACCCTACTTCGAACAATATGTTAGAACAGGAAATCCCCATCAGTTTAATAGCAGCAGATAAGTTTACCTATCGCCCGGTTCACACTCATTCCTCATCTTTTCAACAGGAGTAGAGGTTTATGCCTTGTTTCCTGTATAGGATTTGTTTACTGGTTCTTTTCTCCTAATGTCTGCATTTTTTCTTTCATCTCCAGTAGACCCTCTCATCTTAGTGTCATTTTGACCTTGCTTGGGGTGAAATGATTAAAATAAACTACTGGAAAGAGAGAGATAACATTTGGATTTGATAAACTTATTGTTATGGTCCAGGTTAGGACCAAGGAAGAACAACACGAACACAAGAGTAGAAATAACGAAGATACATTACACGAAATAAAAATACAAGATGTGGAAGGTGTTAGTATGACTGTCAGTCTGGTTTGGAGTGAATTACTATCGGCTTGACTCGATTCGGTATTTAATTGTCCCCCCCACACACACACACACGAGGGAAAGACGTGGCACAAGGCCGAGTTTTACGTGGATTTTCCGAGCCCGTAGGCTCGGCCAGAAAATGCCCGTAGAAACTGTAAAAACAGAATCGGGTTGTTCAACCTCCCGGAACGAGACTCTTCCCTTTGGCGGAGCCTCGTCCAGGTTCCTCTCTGCTCAGAGGCAGAGAGTTCGATCGTCAAGCCGAAACAGCTTGACTCGATTCGGTATCTATCCACCCCCCACGAGGGTTGCATATGGCACAAGGCCGAGTTTAACATGGGTTTCCCGAGCCCGTAAGCACGGCCAAAAAAATCCGGAGAAACTGTAAAAACAGAATCGGTTTGGTCAACCTCCCCGAACGAGGCTCTGCCCTTCGGCGGAGCCTCGTCCGGGTTCCTCTCTGCTCAGAGGCAGAGAGTTCGACCGTCAAGCCGAGAAGCTCGGCTTGATTCGGTATTTAGCCAACGAGGGATGCACGTGGCACAAGGCCGAGTTTAACGTGGGTTTCCCGAGCTCGTAGGCTCAGCCAAAAAATGCCCGTAGAACCCGTATAAACGGGATCGGGTTGGTCAACCTCCTCGTCCGGGTTCCTCTGCTCAGAGGCAGAGAGTTCGACCGTTAAGCCGAGAAGCTCGGCTTGATTCGTCCCTCTCTCTTGAGAGGCGTAGTATACATAGTGTTAATTCATTCTGTAGTTATAGGTAAGGACCCATGACACTTATCTTCCCGAAACATTGTTTTAACAGAAAGTTTTTTTTTATAAAGAGTGATCGATTTTCGTTCCCAAAGCAATACCTAAATACTTTAAAGACTGGTACCAATTGTTTATATAATTTCTCCAACATTCAGGCCGGTAAATGTAATAATACTATACAGTATACTTTACTTAAATAAATTTTATCTATAAAAATAACGTATAAACAGAAACTATATTAAATAATTGTCGGACTTAATCCATTTGATTATGCCTTGTCATTGTTTACGTTAAGATACGTTCCGTAAGCAAATATGATCGATCGAGAAAAATCGTCGAAAATTGTGCGTATAAAAACAGTAAATTGAATTTTGCTAACCAGACGCTTCTCTGTAGCTAAATGGTATAGCACGTCAGATAAAATGACGTTTTCCGTATAGGAATACAGCATTGATTATTGCCGCGGAGAGCATATTTTCTACGAAATTTCTTCAACATTCAAGCCGGTAAATGTAATAAATACTGTTTAATTAAAAACAAAACATTTACTTAAATAAATTGTATGTATAAAAATAGCGTATGAATATATATATATATATATATATATATATATATATATATATATATATATATATATATATATATATGTATATCAACAACTTGAGTTAATAGGAGAAAAGCCTGTTTTTGGTTTAGAAAAAAATCTGATCTTGTACTTTGACCGAAAATTATTTGTGTATAGAAACAATTAAGAACTACTCTCGGATGATTGCTCTTTTGAAAAATGAACCTCTCACTGCATTCACGGACAACACTCGTATTTCCCGTGTGATTTAATTTGTCATAACAGAACCAGATGAAAACACAAATTTGACGTGTCCTGGTAATGACGATAAACTATATCCGTGTCCTGGGTATGACTATAAACTTGGCCATCCCAATCCGTCTACGGATCTCAGTGTCACACTTAGCGTCCTCAGTGAAAACGCTTCTCAGATATTTAAACTTCCACGTCTGCTTGATTCTAGTGTTTCCGACCTTCAAATCACATTTCAGGCCCATCCTTTTACTGATGACCATGAATTCTGTCTTCTTGTAGTTTATGCTTAGTCCCTTCTTCTCACTCTTCGTTGTTACCTTCTGTAGGTGATTTTGTAGTTTCTTTTCCGTGTCTGCTATCAGTATCGTATCATCTGCGTATCTTAAGTTGTTAAGATTGTGGCCACTAATGATAAATCCCGGTTGTGTTGCCAAATCTCTCAGAACTGCCTCGCTGTATAAGTTGAACAAGTTGGGTGAGAAGACACATCCATGCCTTACACCCCCTTTCTACTTTTCTATATTCGTAATACTCTGTCTAGCTTTTGGAAGGCGTCATTACCCATCCTAATACGTCTACGGATCACAGTGTCACACTTACGGTCCTCTGTCGAAACACTTCCCAGATATTTCTCTTTCTTTGTTACCAAAGAAATCGTCCTTTCTCGCAATACTTTGTCTAGCTTTTGGAATCCGTCCTTGGCCATCCCAATACGTCTACGGATCTCAATGTCCTCTGTCGAAACGCTTCTCAGAAAGGTTGCTGTTTCAAATAAAAGGTTGTTTTTTTTAAGATGAGTAAAAAATTTTGAAAACGTGTATTTGTGACCCCCTCCCCCAACACACAAACACTTTTTTGCCTCTAATTTTCGCTCAAAATGAAAATGTGGTACTGATACACGCGTCTGTGTTCGGCTGTGAGTATGTGTGACTGTTTATACGTGTATGTATGTGTATAATGAATGTGTGTGGGTGTGTGTACGTGCGTTTATTTATGTGTATTTGTATGCGTATGTCTTCTGGAATGCGATAGATGAGACAGAGTGATGATGAATGTGCTTGTTTATACCCGCCGACTGTTAATTCCACGCTCAACAAAGACATTGTTAATTATTTTATCTCGTCATTCAAGCAATTCTGTTAATATTAAAACAGAAATCATCCACAAGCAGCAGTCAATCAATTTGTCCTGCAAACTTTTATTTTGTCTAATATCATAAACACGCCATTCTCGAGATAAATTAACAACAAAAGGAACCCTTGTAATGACGTATCTCTTTTATCTTTGCTTTTTGCAATTATGCAGTGGAACCGAGAAGCAATTAATTTGCGTTTATGCAATTATACATGCCAAAAGAAATCTTAGTTAAGCACAGAGGAAATTTAATATTGAAACTTTTATGAGCTGCAAACAATGATTTTGAGATCGAGGTTATTTAAGATTTTACATTTAATTAAAAACTGCATTAATAATTTTTTTTAAATTAAAAAGAAAATATGAATTATAGAATTTCATAAATCAACAAATTATATTTTTCAAAACGTTCAAAAAATTTTAGCAAACAACTGCCCATATATTCTCTAAAGCTGTAGTAGTTCCCAAACAGTGCAGCATGCCTCACAGGTGCGGCGTAAGAGGATAGCAGGTGAGGCGCAATGACTGACAGACAAAGATTTAAAAACATTTTCAAAAAATTTATATGCAAAAAATAAATATGATTTCAAAATTTAAAATATTGTTATAGATTACTTGTAATTGCATAAATCCCAGTATAAATAGTTAAAAATAATTATTGACCGATTTTATCATTGCGATATTTTTGCATTATATCAAGTATTAAAAATATGGGTCCGCAAATTGGAGGAGAGAGTTATCAATGATAATGATCTGACTTCGAACTGCGGTTATTTGCTTTTAACCCTCTCTCTGTTTGTCATTTTTAAATGTACTTTTTATCACGTAAAATTTGGTGAAGCGTAAGCAAATTTTAATTCCGAAAATGCGTCACTGAGAAAAATATTTT